TCTGACGCTGGGTTTTTGTGACGCGAAAAAGGTGCATTCTGTGCTTAATGCGTTGCAGAATATACCTTTTGTTCGCGTCACAAAATCCCAGCATTATTAGAGTTTTTTGCAAAAGGTCAGCCTGTTAAAAACGTGTCATTTTACTTAACATTACTATTTTACTATAGCTGAAGATGCTTGCACTATTGACGATTTTTGTTTAAATGGTGGAACATGTGCTAACAGTACATGTGAGTGCACCAACCAATTTGAAGGCGATAACTGTAAGTAACTGTTTCCTTCTTAATCGCTTTTAAAGACATCTGGTGGGACAGTAATTTGTTGATTAAATTTCTGATTTGTCTTTAACACCTGTCCTTTGACAGCTCCAGAAAAAAAATCTTCCAACCTAGCACTTTGGTAAATCTTTTACTGCCATTTATGTTTGGTATCCAAACTCTTGGTTGCAATCTGCTATATCGCGTGTTTTTGGCCTTATAACCTCTATATCTACAAATGTTTCAAAAATCACACGCGACCACATAATATCGTAAGTACACTGTGATGACATCTTTAGGTCAAAAATCAAGATAGTAGTCATTGAAGCTGGAACATTTCTAAAAGCGGGGAGGGAGGGTTTGATTCTCCCAAATATACAGGCCAAGGATGGAATAAATGCTTCATTTGGAAATTGGAATAAGCGGTCTTGAACATTTGGGTATATATTTTCTGTTCATAATAATAATGATAATAATAATAATAATTAACTCTTTTATTTTACGTGGTTTCAGAATTAGACACAATTTCAAAATTTGTTTGTGAACACAATTGAGACTACAGTTTTCATGTGATTTAAGTGAAATTTGGTGTGATCATTTCTATTGATGGAATCTTGGACAAATTTGAATTTGACGATTTTTCGATGAACGTTTTTTGAGTTATTGCCCTTGACTTCGAAAAAACGCATCAAAATTTGTTTGTGAACATAATAGAGACTACAGTTTTCATCTGATTTTAATGAAATTTAGTGTGATTATTTATATTGAGATCTTGGACTGATTCGAATTTGACGAACCTCTACAGACTTTGATATCATTTCTTATGACAGTTGATAGTGGGCGTATGTCACCTTGTCTGGCAAGCTATCTTGTAGAACTAAGATCGTCTTTAACACAGCCTTTTGCCTAGAAAATAATGTTATTTATATAAAATTCTACATAACGAGCCTTTTGGTTAATTTTGTAATGATGCCTTGCATGCATTTCTTCAGGTAACGGTTGTGTTTGTCGTTACTTCTTTATCAGGTCCTTGATGGTAATGTTTGTGTTAGTCATTCTTTCTTTATCTTTTCTGTTGTTGGCAACAAACAAGGCGGCCCTGTTTGGTGATGACGAATTTTGTTTATATGTTTCTCCTCTCGGTTTTGACATTTCAGGGTTTTGCCTTCTTGCTTCTTGTATATTATTCGGTAGATTTGTATTTTTTTTCTTGGCTCGTTGGTTGTATAATATCATTTGACATGAAGCTTGTTGATGTATTTAATGTGAACCACGGGGTCAGAGCCCGCTACAAGTTTTGATTCTTCGCTCTTGTTGTATGCTAATTAATGTCCATTTCTTCAGATGGTATGATAATTTCAGCATTAATAAATTGCCTTCTTAAATCAGCCGGGGCTGTGATGGCTTGGTTGCTTGCTTGCATCTACTGAAGTATTGATTTATGTGAATATTCTGATTTTGCTAAAATTATGTGAGATAAACGTAAAATGGTAAATGGGTTTCGATGGGATCTCTTTATCAAGTGTCGATAATTTTGAATTTGCAACAGCATTTTAAATGATCCCCTTCTCACGCTGGGCTGGGCCACTGACTTCTGTAACTATCAGAGTTTAGAGCTATGGGATCCCTTACCTTAGCACTTACTGTTGTAAATTGTCATATGAAAATACTATGTGTCGAGTGGCATAAATAAAATTGCCTTTTTTGTATATTTCAGGTGAAGTATGCATTTCTTTTAATAATGCAGCTACTTTAATATTCGACAGAAGTAGATTTTATGCATCTCCCCCTCAAACAGAATTACCTGGCAGTTGCGAGTCATTTTGCAACTCGAATGAAAATTGTACTGCGTTCCTCATATTAGGCGATGGATGCAACACCTTCCAATTTCCCGTTTTGGAAGCATTCGACTTACAGCCTACTCCCCGTGTAACTGAATGCAGTGAACGCTGTCGAAATAGCGCAAACTGCCCATCGTTCATTTTCCAAATTGGGACAGGCTGCTTTTTCTTTGACAACACCATGGATACTGTTGCAAGTGCCAGCGGCTCTCTAGCTGTTTTCAACAGCAAGAATTGTGCTTAAGTTATAGATTTGAATTTGAAGCAATAAATTTGAAATTAAAGCAATACTTTTCGACTTGAGACTTTTGTACAAGAGATCCCCATGCTTTTGCTGACAGATTAATTTGTTGTACAGCCAATATACAGCTTCCACAACAGGTGATTCAGGTGTCCCAGAAAATTTTTTTAACATGTTGGTATTTCAAAGTGTTTCAAACTATGAAGCTCATTTTTCGTGCAAAGATGTGTTTTATATCTTTTATTTTGTGGTATATGGCCCGTTGGAAGATATGGGATACATTATCACGAATTTATGTAATGGAATGAAGAAAATAAACAAAATGTTTCCATCTAAAATATCTCCATCTACCAGCTCTTCGACATCTCCTAATACCATTCCAATAACCTCCCATAATAATAATAATAATCTTTATTCGTACTATTAAATTGTACAATTGGTTAATTACAAACAGTATATGAATTCAAAAGGTTAACTAGGTTATTTTGTACATAGATAATTAATAATTTCTTTAATATGATTTAAATCAATATGAGAATCATTAGATTCTCTAAACCACATCATATCAACAATGGATCCAGCTGTTTGGAGGTCACCTATATTTACATCCTGATTATATATATTAATAATATTCAGTATTTTACTAATATTTACATTCAATAAGCTCAGTTTTGGAATGCTATGTAATTCAAGTTTTCACATGTCGTCGATAGGCTTCCATACAAGGCGTGGAGACTACATATTCTAGTACATGCATTGCTACTATATATTGAGCTCATGAAAAATTTCATAAACCTTTTATGTAATTGCGAATCTATTGAAACATCTTTGCAGATGAAATTTACAAGATGATTATGCGTTCTTGGGGGTACATTCATTAATTGACGTATGCACTTACGCCAGGTACAATAAAATTTATCAATTGTCTTATGACTCAAGTCCCACAGTTGACATCCGTATAATGGCATACGATATGTTTTAAACAATTTATATTTAATTTGGTGTGTGCTCCACTTAAATTGTTTAAAAGTTACATTGAATTTGATAATAAAATTATCTATTACCTTCTGAATAATTTGTTCTCTACTGTCACATAGTAAAGAGTTCCCTAAACTGAACAACATTAATGAGCATTCCATTAAAATATACATCCTTAATTACATCTTTATTTTGTTTATCATATTTTAAGAGCAGTAATTTACTTTTGTCGGGGTTGAATATTACGTCATATTCTATTGCATATTCATTACAGATTTTTAATAAGGATACCAAGGCATGTCTAGATGGGGTTACAAGTGTGACAAAGCACCAACATATACGTGACCTATATGGCAACCATATCTGCTATTGCGAAATCTACTAAGTAGTTCATCTAAATAAATACTAAACAGTAAGGGTGAGAGGACTCCTCCTTGTTTAACTCCATTGGATACAGCAAAGGGCTCTGTTATGCATTCCTTCCATCTAATCCTTACTTCTTGTGATACATAATTATCTAATAGGAATCTAGCTGTTAGGGGGAAAACACCCCTATGAAGGAGTAACTTAAACAATTTTATAAAGTTGTTCACTCTTAAATCCATATAGTAAATCCGAAGACTTTAGTGTTTCCTTATTTCTATCAATGATTACCCAATCTACAAGTTTCCCTATTATACTGCTTAAAGCTATACCTCTATAGTTATCTGAATCGTTCAATGATTTCTTCCTGTTTTTCGGGATAGATATTATGGTAGAGAGAGTAAAGTTTGCTGGATTAAATCGGTGACGTAGCATTGTCAATGCAAGTGACAAGTGACAATAATATGTTCTTTCCATACGTAAGGTGCTTTACTGCCTTCACAACATCAGGTGTAGAAATTTCATGACTACAGTTACAATTATTTAAATAAATTCTTAACTTTACATTCAATATCACGTTCTAAAGAATCTAAGTCTTGTAAATTAAACGATACACAATTAAATAACTCTTTATACTTAGATAAAAAAAAAGCTTATGTTTTTCGACCCAACCTGGCCATCAATATTGTTTGATGATACCGTTGACGCACCTTTAGTTTTCTGAATTTCTCTCCAGAAATCTTTATTTTTATTTGCTATCAGGCTTTCAGCTAATTTATTAGCACATATTCGTTCTTTATTAGCCTTTAGCGGAGAGCATAATGATATCGTGCTTGAGTACGACACCTGATTTCTGCGAGCTGACCAGAGCGAGCAGAATTATTCTCCTTCCAAATATTGTGCCAAAAAATTGATTTATTTCTATGCTCTTCAACATATTCGTTCCAACCTGGAACTATACGTTTCTTTTTACCCGGCTTAAATAGTGGTATGGTCTTCAATCCGGCTTCTACACTTAATCTAATTAATACAGTATAATATTTATCTATTTCCTGATTATGAGATATACAAGTCACATCTTTACATTGAATGGCTTCAAGCGGTATATACACATTTTGTAATAAATTATTAAGTGCATCTTTATATTTAGAAATTTGATCACTAGATGTCTCCTGCCACTTGAGAATCTCGGCCTTACTTAAAGGGTCTAACTGACAGCATTCTAGCTGTATGCTTAAGTTTAAGCTAATAACAGAATGATCCGACATATTATCTCGATCGTGGATAGAGATGAATTCTATAAGATTAGTTCCTAGATTCTCAGAAAAGAGGAGTACTCTTATCCCCATTTATTTTACTTTCAAAAGTATATTCAACATTAGAAGTATCATGTTTTTGAGCAAAGTCCAGTGTATATGATGAACAAAACGCCTTCAGACGGATTGTATGATACGAGGTTGTTCTAGATAAGTCTGTATTGAAGTCCCCACCCACTACAATATAATCCGTATCTGATTCATATATAAGTTTTCCTATTTCATTTAAAGTATCGTCAAATTCATGTTCATTAGAATTAGCACAAGGCATATACACGTTACACAATAACACTTTCATGTATCCCATTTCTATCATCACGGCACACACTCTTCTAGACTCAGATACTATTGGTTTAATGTTACACAAAAGTCCAGATTTCCACAGGATTGTACATCCTCTAAAAGGACGACCACATAACAGTCGGTTACTGTCCATACCGGACACATCATGTACTCGTATACCCTTTATCTTAGTTTCAAACAATGATAATTGTTCTTGTAATAACCAGTGTTCCTGTACTAGTAGCAAATCATGTGTTTCACACAGTTTCTGTATATATTCGAATCTACCACAGCCATGACCATTGGAATTGTAGGAGACAAAACGTTCATTATGGTTTGTCTACTTTGTTAACATCGTCACGAGGACGGATAAATTTTCGAATACGTACGCCTTCAGGCCACAGGGTTTCATTAAACAGTTTCCCAAATTCTGATGCTGGTACTCGGAGTTTAAAAGATTTAAATCTGGCACTCGAGTTAGATATACACGATATTC